GTATTGTGGTAGTTGTTGCATATTTTTCCAAAAATGAGGAGTTGTATCTTGTTGGAAACCTGGCCGAAATTCCCTTTTGTTCCAGTAGCGGTTGATGTTGATAATGCCAGCTGCCCATTTATATGGATATATAGCACATTGTCCACATTCTGAAAGCCTACAGTGTCAGCTTCATCCAGTATTTATGAAATAAACAGCTGATTTGCTTAGACTGTCAGTAGTAGCCTCTCTTGCACTTTTATAACTTTTAAATAATTGTAATATGTAATGTTAAAATGTGACAGTGTTTGGTTTTCACGATAAAAAGTTTTCTTTCTCANTAGCCTCTCTTGCACTTTTATAACTTTTAAATAATTGTAATATGTAATGTTAAAATGTGACATACTAATTATGATTAATTTCAGACATCTTTAGTTGCATAGACTTCCAGTGACAGTGTTTGGTTTTCACGATGAAAAGTTTTCTTTCTCTATAGATCTCATTGGGAGGAAGGAGAAGTTACTTTCACTGATTTTTTAACCTATATTTTCCTTTTCGTTTTGTTTTTTCTTGCCCCTGTACCAAAGATGAAATACTGAAGTCATCCCATTTCACGTATCCCCCTCCATCTCTGTTGTTGTGTAATGGGTGGACTGGAATGTGCGTTTCTGTCTCTTAGAGCCTGGGCAGCCACCTTCCCAGGTTCAAGTCTCATCTTCATGTAATGAGGTCTCAGAATACTGTTAATGTTGAGGATGTTTATAATTAAGTGTATTTCTATTAACACTGAAAAATGGTTTAGAATATTATGATTGCCAATATAACACACTGTGCTGCCATTACTCATCATAATGAAAATTTCACTTTTTTTGTCCCCTTGGGGGTTTTCTTCATGGGACAACTGTTGAAGAAATCAGTAAATAATATTGAAGCAAAAGGACAACAATGTGGCAGATCCAGTGACCAGTTCAGTGACCAGCCTTTAGCAGTATAGGGGGATTGTTTTTAGTGTTCCAAAACAGAGCAAGATATTGACATCATGATGATGACTGTATCTTCTGTGTATGTCAGATAAATATCATATTGATTACAGGACAGGATGCTGGATTTAGAGGTCATGGATTCTATTTCTATTTCTGCCAGCTCTGAGCTGTGCGGTCTTGGGCAAGTTGATTGACTGCTCTGGGTTTTAGTTCTGAGATCTTTGGGATCTGGACCAGATGGAGCACAGAGCAGTGGTTCTGACCTTTTGGGAACATGACCCCTGATGGATTAGATGAAACTTACTAAGCTGTCCTTCTGAAATGTGCCCACATCATCATGCATTTTAACCGGTTTGACTGAGTCCCGTAGTGCCCATCTTTACAGGATTCAGTGGTGCTAAGAGGTCCTGCTACTAGAATTACGTGCTTTTTATCTACATGTGTGTGTGAGTATGTGTGTGAAATGGTAATCTAACTGAATATTTACTGAGCATTTATAGGCACTATTCTGGACAATGGGAGCTTATATTTTAATGGGGGGGACGCATATACAGTAAACACAATGGGTAAATAAATACAGTATATGACATGTTAAATGCTACGGAGAAAAATCGTACATTATTGAAGGAGCTAATGAAGAGTTGGGGGAGGGAGAATGTGATTTTAAATAGGGCTGTCAGGGATTGTCTCACTGGGAAGGCTGGATTGGATCCTCCCTAAAATCTACTTTCAAAAGCAAACCTTAGGCAATAGAGTTATGACTGTTTACTACAATTAACATAGAGAAGAACAGAAGTGAGTTTCCTCTCGTGCTTAGCTTTGAACTAGCTTGCTTCCAAAAAATACTTTGTAAATGAAGGAGCCAGGAATCACAGCTCAGTAAAGCAATTAAGATTTCCTAGGAAAGGCTTTTTTTTTTTGTCTGGTGAGTTGGGAAAGGGATCTTTTTTCTGGCCTGTTTCACATACAAGGTTCTTTAAATCCATCATCCTTTTTAGGGTCATGGTCCATCTGATTTTTGCCCTCTGCTATCAATATGCCTTGTTCCTATTTCTTCATTGATGTTTTTTCTTATATTTACTGGATATTTATCCAGTTCCTATGTACAAAGCATTTTTTTGTGCATCTGGGAATACCTTGATGAATAAAAAAGAGGCCACTGTCTTCAAAGAACTTATGATCTATTGGGGGAAATGGGTGTGTTATCAGTCTACAGGAAGGAATGGGAATTTTCAGTGCAGAGGTTCAAGTCTGATGCTTTGGGAGCACAGAGTGGGGGTACGTTATTCTAACCAGACCAGTGGCATTGAAATTTGAGATGGTCCTTGAAAAATGCACCGTGCTTTGATAGCTTAGTGTTGGAGATGGGGTGCTGTAGTCTGGGAGAACGCCAGGAAAGAAAGGATAGGTACGGTGTGAAGAATTTTTCTTGGACTGGAGGGCAGGGTGTTTGGAGTGATGTGATGCTGGTTGAAAACTACAAGCCAGATCCTGGAGGTTCTTGAGTGATCTTGTGTGAGGAGTTTGGTGCCTGCTGTGGACACTGGGAAACCAGTTTGGACTTTCATTGCCTATCCTGGCTTTTGTCTAGGCTGGGCTTTGTCTGTCTATCTGTCATGATTGGCTGTTTTTCAGGCCATTGGTTTACTTCTCTGAGTCTTTGATTTTGTAAATTCTCTTCTTTATATTCTACTTATTCATTTTTCTTTTCATTAATATGAACATAACTCTTTTTAGCAATTGGCTTAATTTAGTAATATACATAGAAATGTGAGTTTGTGTTCAAATCATTTTGATGAAATATATTAATTGCCTTTGGAAGCTATGCTGGTATTTCATACTAGTGTTATATGTAATACCAAGGAATTAACCTTTGGCTCTATTTTTTTTTCTTTCAGGTTTTTAGCAATCACTTTTTTCAAGTGACTATTGACGACTTAAGACCAGAACCTAGTAAACTGTCAATGCTGTGCCATGCGGATTCTTTGGGGATTTTGCCAGTTCAATGGTGCCTTAAAAATGGAGTCAATCTCACTCCTCCCAAAGGTTAGTATTCTGTGAAAATTTGCAGGGTTTGGGTGATTCAGGAGGGTGTCTTGTCATTGAAATGATGCCTTTGTTAATCTTGAAGTTTACATTGTAAAGAATTTAGATGTAGTGGAAATAGAGTATCTTTCTCAGTTCGCTTGACATAGGCGTTGATCACAGGTCCATTGCTGGTGAGGGGTGTGGTGTGGGCTCTGTCACCCATGGGTTCCCGTCAGTTATTGTGTTATTGACAGCTATGGTGCTACCGTGTAGTGATAGAGGGTGCAATATTGCCAAGTGACTGAGGTTAAAGACTTGAAAGTGTCTGAGAAGTGTCTTTAAAAGTGCAACAGAATGCTAATGAAGCATTTTTTTAGATTTTTATTTCTGAGAAGCCAAATTTCCCCTCTGGGGTCCTTTCGCTCTCAGATATCCAACACTTTTGATGCTATAATACATTAAAATAATTAGGAGGCAGGACACATTAAATCGTTTAAAATTGGGATCCATGAAGCATGTTATTGGTAAGTACTATACTCTTTTTGTTTGGTCATGTGGTTAGTTGTTCCCTTTGGGTCTAAAGTTTGTTCAAGGAGGAGAGCAGTAAATGAAGGTGAAGGTGGGCATATGAGTAGGAAAATAAAGGGAATAGAAGAAAAAATTGGGACGAGATCAGAAACATAATCTTATTGGGGGGATTTTAACAGACAGCCTCAAATAATAAGGGGTTTTGTAGTAACCTTTGGAGATTGCTAGGGATTGGACTGCATGTGGTGGTGACCACGTTGAAAGAATGACTCAGTACTTGCAGGTCAAGTTCCAGTTTGCCTGTTGCCACCCTGTGCTGTCTGCCCAGCTCGTCTTCATCCTCATTTTTCCTTGACACCTGTCCCCACAGAGCAGATGCTTTTGGGTGTCTCCTTTTTAGCTGTTGACTCTTCAGCTGAAACTTGCAGGGTCATGGCGTGGCGTCAGTGATGACGCGGTGAGCGGTCCCACAACGCCATGTACCAGCCACTACTTTAGGTGTCTAACTCACATGGTCCTCAAAATAATGCTTGGAGGAAACTTAGTCACAGAGTTTCTGTGACGTGCCCTAGGTCACCTGGATTGTAAGGAGCAGGCAGGGGGCCTGTCTCCTGCATCTGTGCTGGGTGACCACAATGGGGACTCCAGTTTGCAGGCCTAGGTGTTTGTTTCTGTTTTGATGCTCACGAGCTGGATGGCCTGAGGTCACTGCGCTTCAGTTTTCAAGACTGTCAAATGGGGACATTTATGGTATTCCCCAGGTACCAGGGGAATAGAAACTAAGAATGATAAAAGCCTAAGTTTTTTATAATCATTTAATATTACCGTGTAGGTTTTATATTGTCAGCGATGTGTTGGTGGTAGATGAGGCATCCTCCCTGTTATGGAATTTCGGCATCAGGTCCCCAGCAGAGTTTGAAATTACTGGGGCCTTCTTTGTTTATTCCTAACTTCTCTATTGAAATGTGTGGGGAGGGGTCCCATGTCACTGAAGAGAGACCTTTTCTAGATATTTAAAATGCTGCTTGGTTCGATTTTGCACATTCCTAGTTAGTAATAGGATCTATCTTAGAACCTTTTAAAAAGATATTTCCTCACATGATGGGGAAACAAAAGGAAAAATGTTTTTATCTGCATTTTGGCTGCTTGATTATTCCATTTTGGCAGAAGGTTTACATTTACTAGTGTCTTTAGAATTTCTAAATACATTTCCTATGAACTGTAATTGTTGAAAATACGAGAGCACTTCCAAAAGTTCATGGAAAAATTGAATTCAAAGATAATATGAATCTTTCCATTAACTTTTTAAAGACCCCTCATATTTTTCATGGAAACAATTGTTGATACAGTTTGGACACTTGCTAGGAAAATGGGTGTGCCTGTTTGGATATTGGCATTTTATGATATGAAAATAATTGTTTTATATTAATGTAATTGAACTCTTAAACATGCAATGAAAGGACTGTACACATATATAAAATTAAGTACTTTTGCATTTTAAGCTTTTTTATGTCTAATGTTTAGCCACGATTATCTCATTAACCCCAATTATTTTCTACCTTGGGGAAATTGAGGCTGTGTTGTGTTAAATGATTTTTCTGAGCAGAGGTTGGCTTAGAACCCTAGTCCTAAGATCCCAAATCTAATGCTTTTTCTTCATAACCATATCCACGCTTTACTGCTGTTTTCTCTCTCTAGTATCTCCATAAAAAAAATCTATCCTTCTCAGTAATTTGGGGGAATCTTGGTGACCTTAAGAAGGACTAGGTGATGTCAGTGGACCATGACTTCTACATGATTGACATGGTCTATATGTCAAAGCAGTCTCAGAATTACAATTTTCTGGAGTAATTTTCCAAGAGTCTGTGGTTATAACAAAGTCACAGCTTTATTGAGCTCCCTTATCTTGTGAGAGTGGAATATATTTATTTTTGTAATTACAATGAATTAGAATTTAGAGGTGGTGGTGGTAGTGGTGGTTTCATGGTTTCCTTTTGAGGTGACTTGTTATGTGTCATATCTCAACACTAGGACTGGGAATCATGCTGTTGAATTTTTTCACACACTACTCTGCTTTATTAATGTATGAAAGTAGAAGCTTTTTAAAAAAGTTTGTCTTTAACTTAAATTCTAATGTTTATATGTAGACTATGTAGGATTTATGATACATATTGCCAAGTGATTTCAGATGTTTTCATGTGTGTATGTTTTTGGTAAATGTACTGTGTTGTTTAGAATTCTGTTAAAACCATGAGATACTGTTTACAGTTACAGTGTGTTGCCTGATCTCAAAAAGATATTAGGTGGGAAGCACCTGATGAAACAAAAGACATCTGGTGGCATAGATCCTTCAGTTCATTGTTTTAATGCTATTCCTGTTTTTAAAAGCACCTGATGAAACAAAAGACATCTGGTGGCATAGATCCTTCAGTTCATTGTTTTAATGCTGTTCCTGTTTTTTTTAAAAAAAATCTGTCTCCAGATATTAGGGACAAGCAGTCTAAGCTACAGTGGGTAGGAATTTTTCAGTGTGGCTTTCTGCGTAAATGCTTTCCTGGTAAGCAAAGGATAGAACCTTGGAGATTGTACCCCATTAGTTTAAACCCAGTGAACAAGTAAGTATTATAGTCACCATGAAAAATGATCAAAAGTAAATAAAAAAAGACTAAGCAAAAATATGTATATGTTATCAATCATGATTTGCTATTTTAAAATCATTCCATTAACCTTTCTGGCATGTAACATCAAAGATTAGTTATAGAATCAGAGGAGGAAAAGTTTCTCCCAGGGTGATCTTTTGTTGAAAATGTTAAGCCTTTAAATTTCTGTTGTAAAATGTGTAAGCGAGGGCTGAGCTAAGTGGCTTATTTTAGCACTTTCGTTTGTCTTGTAGGTTGACCATTTAGTAGACACACAAGTTGTTAACACAGTGTATGACTTAAAGGTGTATGAGGGTACTACAAAAAGTTCGTGGAAAAATAGAATTAAAAGATAATGCAAATTCTTCCATGAACTTTTTGAAGTACCCTCGTATTTTAATTGTTATTGAGACACATAGCTGTGAACCCCAAATGGTATTCTCTTTTCCTAAGGGGAAGAACCTCAGACACTGACAGGTAAACTTAGTCCATTTTGCCATCTGTTATATTTCAGCCCTACCAAAGGGGGTGGAGAATAGTCTGTAGACACCCGTGGCCCCACCGTCTTTATTCAACAGATGGTAACGTTTTGCCACATTTGATTCAGATTTTTAAAAAATGAAGTACAACATTAAAGATATCATCGAAGACCGAGCCATCCTTGAATCCTCTATTTCCCACACCAAGGTTTCTCCCAGGGTGATCTTTTGTTGAAAATGTTAAGCCTTTAAATTTCTGTTGTAAAATGTGTAAGCGAGGGCTGAGCTAAGTGGCTTATTTTAGCACTTTCGTTTGTCTTGTAGGTTGACCATTTAGTAGACACACAAGCTGTTAACACAGTGTACGATTTAAAGGTGTATGAGGGTACTACAAAAAGTTCGTGGAAAAATAGAATTAAAAGATAATGCAAATTCTTCCATGAACTTTTTGAAGTACCCTCGTATTTTAATTGTTATTGAGACACATAGCTGTGAACCCCAAATGGTATTCTCTTTTCCTAAGGGGAAGAACCTCAGACACTGACAGGTAAACTTAGTCCATTTTGCCATCTGTTATATTTCAGCCCTACCAAAGGGGGTGGAGAATAGTCTGTAGACACCCGTGGCCCCACCATCTTTATTCAACAGATGGTAAGATTTTGCCACATTTGATTCAGATTTTTAAAAAATGAAGTACAACATTAAAGATATCATCGAAGACCGAGCCATCCTTGAATCCTCTATTTTCCACACTGCATATCTAATACATTAGTGAGTCCTGTCAACGTTTTCAGAATCTGAGGGCCTCTCGTCACGACCATGTGGCCTGGGCTGCCATTGAGTCTCACCTGGTCTCTGCAGCTGCCTTCTCTTTTCTGTAGTCAGCTCAACACAGCAGGAAGATTGATCTTGTCTGACCGTAAATAACACACGTCCCTCTTCTGAGTGTCTTCCACCTCATTCGGTGTCCCAAAACACTGTGACAACAGTTGCCCAGTGGTCTGACTCTCATTGTCCCTCCTGGCCTCATCTCCTGAGACCTCCCCACCAGTCCCATATTATGACCATTTGTCCCCTTCTTAGGACATGGCTCTTACTGTTCCCTCTGCTTGGATGCCCTTCCCTAGCTGCAGGTTTGCTCATCCACCTTCTGTAGCAGGTGTTGCCTTCTTGGGGCCGTCTTTCTGGTCTACCCTATTCAATATCAATAGCAAATCACCACCCCCAACATTTTAATTTTCTTCCCTGCATTGTTTTTCTCTATAGAATTTCTCATCATGTAATATATGAATAAGTAATATATATTTTACTTCTTTGACTTTTATATCTGTCTCCCACTAAAAATGAAAGATCCACAAGAGCAGGGATTTTA